ACCAGTGAGAACAAACCGAGAAAAAAAAAATAAGAGAAGTAATTCAGGGGTCGGTTGGAAAAGAAAAGAATAAAGAGATGAAGGAAGAGAAGGAGGAAGATAATGAAAAGATAATTTCGGATTTTTGGTGTGATAAGATCCTATTCATTTTTACGCATTCATATCTAGAGTCACGATTTCTGATAGTTTCTGGTCTAATTGATTACATCATTAACTTGCCCATCTACAGAAAGCAAAGATTCGATTTTGAATCTTTTTGATTGTTTCGTTTAGCTTGTTGTCTCACTAAAGCACTTCCTGATTGAATCTGTTTGTTACAACATTTCATTTATTTAATTATCAATATCTCAATCTCTGCTTCAATGATTTAATTTCAGCTGGATCGGTTCATTGTCAAATTTACAACCTTTAAGCACAAAATGATCCAATGTTAGAATAATTACTTTGAATGCCTCGGAAAAATTCTGATAGTGGTCATTCTCTCAACGCGCTTTTATATATCATAATAATAAATGTAACAAGATTATTTTTTTCATACCCATCAATACAATCATCAATAGAACTATCACCACTATTACTACAAAAAATTGATTGTTGATCAATTTTTGGAATCTGCTATAAAAATAGAAATATATATTGCTTGTGTCTTGATATATATATATATATATATATAACACATGCAAGTATATAAATTATTTACCATGGTAATAGTCAATGATTCATTATCACTCCGTTAACCCGTTCTCCTTTTGTTTTTGATCTAACGGTAATTGACATAGTTGGCAAATTAATACTGTTACTTGATAGTAAATTCAGAATTCTCTTGGTGTGCGTGGTGAAGCTTGCTTAAAAAATTTATCTGTGCAAAGTTTTCCGTTTTTTATTTGTGATACTAACTATACGAATAAAGTCAACATTCTGTCAAACAAAGTCTATGAAGTTGTTGTACGTGAAAATGAAATTATGTGGATTCGCAATTCACATATGTGAAATTCAAATTTACATGTGTGAAATTCAAATTAGCCAATCAGAACTTCACCCCACTCCATAATATTTCAATTTCACACACAACCAAGTCATTAAATTTAACAATTTAACTGCATCATAGAGACCGTTGACTGATCCGGTCAGAATTCGAAACACTAGCTACTTACGCGAATGTGTTATCAAAATTCGTTAGATCCAAATTGTATGTTATTATTATTGTGGTAAATTATTTATAATCCATACACACAAAATTACAGCGTAACATGATGTCCAGAGGACAACATGTTGGCGCGAGAAGCTTTCTTTAATTGATGGGATGATTGCTCTTTCATATTCACAACGTCTTTTGAAGATAAACTTTCACTGTTTGCCCTATTAAGTCAATCATTATCTCAAACAATGAATGACTCAGGTAATTAGGTCGTGTAGAGTATGACGAATGAAAGTATCTTTTTTGTTAGTATTTGCAACTTTTAATATAGGCAGTGGAAGAAAGCTGCTGTATTTTCGGGATCGCATTTGTTAAAGGAGAAATTAAAGGATTCGTTAACAGTTTAGTGCCATATTGCATGGTTTTTTTTCTTTATTCTATAAATCATATAAATGATCAATAATGTGATTCTAAATCAGATTGGACTTTACGCTTTTGTAAAGAACAAATTTATTGGGAAAGTGTGCCCTCAAAATTGATGCTTCTAGAAATAAATAAATTCTATTTTTGATGTAATTAAATTTTCTTCCCGTTTCTTTTTTCATGCTTTATTTAAACACTTTTTTGTTACTGTTTCCATCTAAAAAATACCGTTCTCGTATTGACCATTTCCAGGAAAATATGTTATTATATAGCCTTTTTAATCTAAACGAATCAAATTAAAGTTTGGTTACTGCATAGTAGTTACATAAATAAGTCCAAAAAAGAAATAATTCTTTGATTTCGGAGTTATTAATATTGTCTATAAATATTAATAAAATAAGTCTATGAGAGAAACTTTATCCTATTTATTCGATATGAACAAAGGAGCTATTCCTTCTCTACTCAACCAAAGAAAGAAAGTGAAATTAAGTTTCTTTGCTTTATTGTCACTTCTTCCACTTGCAAATGCACTCATTATTGACGAAGAGTATAACTCTGAAGAGGATGTTTATGATGCAATTATCAACACATTCTTTCCAGTATTTTTTGTCATTTTGTTCAATGTTTCAGGGAAGACTGGACGCATCAAAAATGTAATGTTACCATTACTGGATGACTTATTATATAACACAGTCACTTGGATGATTCCGCTGGTAGTCTCTTTGGTCTATGATGATTTGTTGAGTATAAAGATATTTTCATTTGTAAACATGGCTTTACATGTAACTTGCGCAGTAGCCGCGATAATTAAGAATGATACAGTTGAAAATGTTATTGATGATGATGAACTTGATTCTTCTACATTTATCTCTTTGT